GTAATCAAAATAATTATCTTGAAAAGAAAAGGTAAGGTAGGCTAATTATAGCTATTACATTGTTTATAAATTTTAGTCAAGAAAATCCTCACAGAATCACAGGTTAACATCAACCTTTAAACAAATTATTAACATGGCAAAATAGATAACTGATTAGAAGGAAAGAATCCTATCGAAATTCTTGAGAAGTGTATTTTCTCTATTTTTAAGATTTTAGATAATCTGAGTCAGGTTTTCTTTTTCTTCTTAGAACCAGAATGCCGATTGGTTGATATAAAGGGAATGAAAGTAATTTAAATTTGAGTGTCTCATGGCTCAGAATATTTCTGCCGTCATAAGCAATGTACTTCTCTCTACAGGCAGACCAACAGTAGAAAGGAAAATTATAAAAAGAAGTTGCTTGTGCATGTGGATTGAGAAAGATGGGAATTAGTCAGTGAAGCCACTATTTAATGCCGTCAGGCTAAGGCCATCCTTGCCACCTGTCACCATGACAGGTGCGTCTTTCCAATGGGGTCCAAGTTCTCAAGACTATGGCCACGTTTCCTATAATTCTGAGGCATTTTCAAACTATTGAAAATCTATTTAAAATGAACAAAAACATATTTAGAATTTTTCATAGTATGTATAATTGTAATCCAGTATCATTTTAAAAAATTATTACTGTTTACTTAATTCAGGCATTAAGTAAATTGAAATACAATTATTTACTCCCTAGGCTGTTCTGGGAAAGGTACATTTTAAATTTTTAAAAATGTTTTATTAAATATAGCTAGTATATAATAAACTTCCCACATATACTTGTATAGTTTGATTAGTTTAGACATGTTGATACACCTTTGAAACTATCACAATGAAAAGACAAATATATCACAGTAAAATATAAATAGACCTATCACCTTCCAAAGTTTTCTCAAGATCCTTGTCTTCCGTGTGCTCCTTCCATCCTGGTTCCCAGGTAGCCATTATTCTGCGTCTGTGTCTATAGATTAGTGTGTATTTTCCAGAGTTGGGATGGTACTGTAAACACTGTGTGTCATCTGGCTTCTTTCAAGTAGTACAATTATTCTGAGATTCACTGTGTTGTGCACATTAACAGGGCATACATTCTTACTAAGTAGTATTCCATGTCTTTAGATAAACACAACTTGTCTAACCACTTATTTGCTGACAGATATCTGGATTACTTCCAGTTTTTGCTTTTATAAGTTGTTGTAAATATATTTGTACAAGTTCCTCTATGACATGTTTTCATTTTCCTTGGCAATTACTTAAGAGTAGAATGGATGAATCATTTAACAGGTGTTTAACTTTTTTATCAAACTACCTATTTTCTAAAGTTGTACCATTTTACATTTTCGTCTGCAATGTGGGAAAATTCTAGTTTCTCTACATCTGTATCAGTTCTTGGCACAATCAGTCTGTTTAATTATAACCATTCAAGTGAGCATGTAGAGGTATTTCATTGTGCTTTTAAACTACTTTATTAAAGGCTAATGATGTTGATCTTCTTTCCTGGGATTATTTGCCACCCACATCTTCCCTGGCAAAGTGTCTGTGCAAATCTTGTATACATTTTATAATGAGGTTGTTTGATTTCTTAAATTTTCAGAGTTCTTTCTATATTCTAGATACCAGGCCTTTAAAAGATAGTTTCCTTTAATACATGGTGCTGGAAAAATTGGCTCTCTACATGACAAGTGGCTTCTTTCATGCAGTACAATTATTCTGAGATTCATTGTGTTGTATATATTAACAGGTCTAACCACTTATTGGAACCAGAATGCTGACTGGTTGATATAAAGGGAATGAAAGTAATTTAAATTTGAGTGTCGCACGGCTCAGAATATTTCTGCCGTCATAAGCAATATACTTCTCTCTACAGGCAGACCAACAGTAGAAAGGAAAATTAGACCCATTTCTATTACCATGCACTAAACTAAAGTCAAAATGGATCAAAGATCTAATATTAGAATGAAAAAGAGAAACAGGTAGAAATCCTGAACACATAAGTGTAGGTAAAGAGTGCATGAATAAAATCCATGGGAAACACTTCAAAGAATCAACAACTGGGACCTCATTTTATTAAAAAAGCTTTTGCTCAGTGGAAGAAATCACCAACAGAGTGAAAAGACAACTCACAGAATGGGAAAAAATTTTAGCCAGTTGGCTCTCAGACAAAGGTATTCACTCTAGAACACATAAAGAATTGAAAAATTAAAATTTCCCAAATTTTAAGACTCAACCTAAAAAGGGGCATCTGAGGTGAATATATACTTCTTAGATGAAGAAATAAATACATGAAAAAATGTTCAATATCACTGGTCATTCAAGAAATGCAAATTAAAACAACACTGAAATTCCATCTCACCCCAGAAATAATGGCTATCGTTTAGGAATCAACCAAAAACAAATGCTGGAGGGGGTGTGAGGGGAAAGGAACCCTTCTCCACTGTTAGTGCGAGTGTAGACTGGTACAAACACTGTGGAAATCCATGTGGAGAGTCCTCAGAAAACTAGTATCAGAGGTTCTATTCAACCCAGCTATTCCCTTTTTGCATATCTTTCTGGAAGTATTAAAACCATTTTACCACGGTGATATATGTGCACCCATGTTAATAGCAGCACAATTTGTAATAGCTAAATCTTTGAAACAACCCAGATGCCCATCAGCCAAGGAATGGGTAAAAAAGTTGTGGTCTTTTTATACAATGGAGTACTACTTAGTCATAAAGAAGGATAAATTCACGGCTCTTACAGGTAAACGGAGGCAACTTGAGACCATACTCATTAGTGAAATAAGTCAGGCTCACCTGAGTAAACATTATATTGTCTCTATGATGTAAGAAAGAGTAAATAAAGTCTAAAATGTACAATAGAGATGGTGAAGTGAGAAGAAACTGTACAAAAGTAAAAAAAGAGCTAGGACAGGTGAAAGGGGAAAGGACATTAGGGAAAAGGGAAAATATGCCAATCAGTTATACTATTAGTGTCCCTTAGCTTATTCAAAAGGAAGGTCTGCGCTAATGCCGATTAGAGAAAGTTTTATACCCATATGTTGTACCCTGATAAACTATTTCAAAGATAACATGTAAGGTATTAACTATTGTTATTCTCCTATTGTTTTGTTATGAAGTTTTGTTTTACCTTTTTTCCATATAAAAATTCATGGCTTAAAACTTCATCGCAATCAGATGCTCAGTTTTTCATTCTCTTAACAGCTCAAGAGCAGAATATTTAATTTTGATGCAGTTCAATTTGTCATTTTTCATTTATGGGCTGTCCTTCTGGGTCACACCTAAGAAATATTTACTGAACCCATGTTCACAAAGATTTTTAAGTTTTCTTCCAAACTTTTTCACATTTTAAGTTAGGTTTATGATTCACTTTGATTAAATTTTCCTACATGGTATCAAGTATTTAGCGAAGTTTATAAAGAAGCGAAGCATCTTTATAAAAAATCTATTGCATATATGATACATTCAATTTCCGGACTCTATCCCATTTCATTTGTCATTTATGTCTTGATACCAATGCTATAATATTTTAATTGCTATAGCTTCTAAGTTTTGAAATCAACTCTGAAATTAACTTTTTAGTTATTCTAAGTCCTCTGATTATCCATATGAATTTTAGAATCAGGGTGTAAGTTTCTATTGAAGAAAAAAATAAGGTTGCTGAAATTTTGATAGTACTGAATCTTTAGATCAGTTTGGAGAAAAACAACATCTTCACTATTTTGAATGACTCCTTCATGTGTATTTATCAACATTCCACTAACTTCTGTGGATCTTTGCCCTTCTCTCTGCAGCTCTCTGTTCTCTGACACTCTGGCGACAAACTCTAGCTGCTCTGGGCTTCCTGGACTCTCGGTTCCATCTCTTCGGCTCTGGGCTGCCCCTGCCTAGCCTGCAGACTGGGAACTTGAAGGAAGAACTTGGGCAATCACAGGGCTCACCTCATTCACTTTGGTCTCTCAGGGATCACTGTTTTTTGTTTGCTTTGCTTTTTTTTTCTTTTTGAGACAGGTTCTCACTATGCAATTCAAGTTGGTGTTGAATTCACTTTGTAGCCCAGGCTGGTCTTGAACTTGCAAGGATCCTCCTGCCTCAACCTCCCAAGTGCTGGGATTACAGGTGTGAGCCACCACACCTGGCTTGGGGTCACTGTTCTTTATTGCGAGATGACCACGTTTTCAAACTGGCATTTCATATAATTTTCCCATTGTTAAAATTTCAGTAGACTGATTAGTTGCTCATGTTTTTACATTTTTATTAGAAGTACAATCTCAAGTGTTAATTTTAATGTCAAATCTGTTTTTGATGTTATAGAACTCAAGTAAAAATGAGTAGTTAGTAGTAGTTAGTATAACGCTGCTCTCCATTCATTAGCTCCTTTCATTCCACAAATATTTATAGGATTCTATTTAGTCAGTATTGAAGATTAAAGCCAGGTATGTTCCTTGCTCTCACAGAACTTAAAATCGAGTGGGACAGACAGATATTAATCAAATAATTATAAAGAAGAAAAGTGACACTGCTGTCACATTTGCTATCAATGAACAACAGAATGGTGCAGTGAGAACCTACAAGAGAATGACTTCATGGTATTTGCTTATAGAGCCTGCATTCATGAACTGCAAATATTCATGCTAAAGTCACAAAGCAACTGTATGATGCATGCATAAGACAGAAATATTCATTAAGTAAACTCAATATTTGATGTACTTAGTAACAGGCATTGGGTAACATGTAAAGTGCTTTGGAGCATGTAAGAATTATGACACTATCCTTATGAAACCTGAGATTTAATTCAATCCATAAAATGCAAAGGAAGAAGAAATTTATGGATCTACACCCTGTATGAATATAAATAAAAATTTACCAGTTAAACAACATTGTGTATATCCCTGTAAAAATTATTTTTTCCATCAGTCCAACTGCAGAAATGTGACCAGTTAGACTAAGAAAACAGTACATATTTTTCAAATCAAGTCTTACCTAGATATCTCAGCTTGGGAATTTTTTTCTCCATCAACAGTGAAAGGCGATGCTCCAGTTAGTAACTCGTACATTAGAACTCCTAAACTCCACCAGTCAACTGCCTATAAACAAACAATAAAATTATCAACTATAATATATTTTATAAGAACTAAGTATTTAGAAAACATATTAACAAGTAGATTTTGTACACAGATTTCTGTGCAAGGATACTAATTAGCACAGAAAGCTGTGTACAGACACTTAGCAAATATCTAGATAGTCTCAGCAGTGACAGAGTTTTAATAATTTCCTAAACTAGTTACAGTTTTTACCATGACTAATCAAACATTTTTACCTTGAAAAAAATCTTATTTTTTTGTTTTGTCTTTTTGAGACAGGATCTTGCTTTGTAGTTCAGGCTGGCCTTGAACTCAGTAAGCTGTCCAGGCTGACCTTGAATCTGTGGCAATCCTCCTGCCTCAGCTTCCCAGGTATTGAGATCATGGGCATGAGCCACCACACCTGGCTTATATTTTATTAATTTAAATTTTTTAAAATACTTGGATTTGGAATAGGGGAAAGTATCAATCAGTAATTTTATTAAACATTCAGGTCCAAAAAATCTTATGAAATTCCTCAATTAAGGAAAAAATTTTAAAGATCTCATCCAAGGTTATTGTTTTTATAATCTGCAAAGTCAGATTCACTTAAAGAATCTAACAAAGATGTGAAAATATTCACTGATGGAAGGGTACATTAACAGAAAAGAAAATGTGCTCTAAATTAGAAATCCATTCATTAATGCAGTTGTTTGAACTGTGACCACAGTGAATTATCAATGGCTTAAATAATTCTGATAAATTGAAAATTAGTCCTTTTGTAATCAGGCAAATCAGAATTTCAGTAAGCTGAATATGTGAACTCATACTAGTGAAAAATACTAACTGGATGGTAAAAATTTTAAATTATTCGCTTCCAAAATTTAGGACCAAAGTTTCAGAGAGGCAACATAAAGTATGAACCTAGAACCAGGTTAAAGGAAGTACGGAACACTGAATATATAAAATAAAAGAAGATTTACTGAATGCTTTCTTTATGTCAGGTGTGGTAAGCACTTTGTATTCATTACCTCATTTGATTAACTAAAGTCATCAGGTGGTCCATGTTAGATAACAGAAAGCACACTGATTAGCTATCTCCTGTGCCCTAACTATGTAGAAATTGTAGTAGTGATACAAGGTTTTTTTAATCTGAAATTTGTTCAACTAAGCCTAAGACAATTGTCAAATGTTAACAGATACAAATTCCTACTAAATTCCCCACTAGCTTCAAACAATTCCATGAAACAAACTAAACCCACAACTGCACTCTACTGTTTCTATGCAAGGGCTCTACTGTACGGAGCCCGAGTGCTCAGAAGGCAGTGCTGCTGGCATGAAGCCGTGCTCTTCCGCTGATGCAGACCTGAGAGACAGGCTTATAAATATATGGTCGGTTATTAGAAAGGAGAGCAAAGATTCTCCACGGCCAGATATTTCAGTGGCACATCACCTTCCGGAAGGAGATGAAGGAGCAGAGAAAATGTGGGGGAGAGCCAGAATGTCTTATTTGGAGACAGTTATTAATAAAAGAAAAATGTTAAGATTGAAGAATATTTTTACCCTCCAATATAGAAAGGAAAAAAGACCTAGATTTTATAACGTAATTACTTAGAAAGCTTCTTCCATAATCTTCATTTTTCACATACAAAGGGAGGGGAAGAGGCCCTCAAAATAAAGCTTTTTAGAAGTTTAGGAAAATAGACTATTTCTAATGCAGGATTTTTCTTCTTCCAAAGGCTGTTAAATTTATTTCTGTTGGAGAGAGAATCAACAAAGTCATCAGTATCTCCATAAAGTTAAAAGCAGAAAGTGGGAATAAGAAAAAGATCTTTCCCAAGATCTTTCAGCCACCTATTAGAGAACAGATATTAACTGAAGATGGTACACATGACTATATTTCTGTGTGTTCTTCTAGCAGAAAGTAGCCATGCCAATAAAGTAGTATCCAAAGTTACTCATCAAAACCCAGACAGGAATAAATGCATACAGTTTATGCATTCAGTCACACTCCTGTACTGTACTGTGGTTCAGATTGTACCCCAAAAGACCAAGATTCCGTACAACAGAAAAGATGACTTCTTAAAAACTGAAGTCATAATTGCTGCTTTGCTTTAGTTATGTAATGGAAATATATAAAAAATACTTGAAGAATTAGCTTTGAGGTTTAAATTTCAACTGGAGTGTTACTCTATAAAGCAAATAAAAATTCTCACCAATAAAACCCTAAAAAAGAAATCTAGAATGTCTTTTCTACTCTCTTTTTCCTCCAAAACTCTAGAGCTTGTAAATGTGTTTAGGTATTTAAAATAAAAGAGAAACAAATAAAGGTATGACAACACCAGAAAGAGCGCTATGTTGAAGACTACTCCCAGTTATCGACTGGAATTCTTATGCATTTTATGGAAATAATATAAGAAAGTACCAGAATTGGAACATACCTTGTCATGTCCTGAATCTCCCCCTCTGACGATATCTGGTGCCATGTATTCAATAGTCCCACAAAAGGAATATGCTCTTTCACTCTTGAACAAACAAACAAAAAGAGGATTTGATTTCAAGCTAATATGACACATGTCCAAAGGAGAAAGTTAATCATACAGGTTACTGGCTGAGATACAAAGCAGTGGTAGGAATCTGCTGGCCAGGACAAACCATCACCTACACAGTAACAGCCCTGGATAAACCTCTCCTCCGAATGGCTTTTCATGCCTGGAACTCCACCATCATCCATCCATCTATACACGAGTCCACTTATTCATGCTTCTTCATATCCTTGTTTGTCTTTTGGCATATACATATTTCAGTTCTGGGTTTCTGTAACCACTCTTATTTTAGGGATGAGTGAAGTCCCGAGAGGTTAACATCAATTGTCTAACACTTAGTATGAGTGATTTTCTTTCCAAGTAGGCAAGATTGAGAAAATGCTGGGAAAGCTGAAGGAGGAAGATCAAATGCTGAGGGGCACAGGGAACTAGAAAAGGACAATGGGATGAAAATTTTTTTCTCCCTAATCATCTTGCATAGGTTTGGCACGGTTAATGGTATATTTAAGTGATGACAAATAGAAGTGTCTTTAAGATAGCCAGCCTATCTCTTAAAGATAGTTGTTTCTCTTTCACAGAACTTTAAAACTTCAAGAGGCCTAATTTAATATATCAGGCCTAAAGGTTAGTGTTTAAAATTTAACGATTTTAAAGTGGCTGACTGACTCATCCCAAGGCAATAAAAGAGAATATATATCTAAATAGTTATAAACATTCTGAATAAGAAAGAAAGAATTTCTTCTTAGTAATATACATTCACATAGCTATATCTGAAACTTTCAAGGATATTTTGATGCCATTAAAATACTTCACAAGAGTATTTTTACAAAAATGAATATTTCTTATAGAAAGCTTTCTAGTTTATATTTTATTCTCCTTCTATCAGCAAGATCTTAAGAAAAATACCATTTCTTTTTATTACCAATTTTGACCACAAGGAATACTATTCTAGCAATGTCACCGAAGTGGTAGAAATCCTATTTTATTGACTCAACATCAAACAAGCCCATAGAGATGACTATTATGCATTCATTTAAACATCACAAATTAAAACTATTAATTGAAATATATACATATATAAATAAAGCCAAAAGTAGTATGGTTTATGATTAATTTCCTTTTTTTGTAACATTCTGACACACTGGAAGATTATTATTTCCCCTAGAAACTAAAAGAAATAATTCAAATACCTTAGTACAGGAAATTTTCTTTGTTGGTTGGCAGAGTAATACTATTGAATAGTCATATAAATCATATACTACACGTTACTATCTCTGTTTCATTATATAAGAACTAAATGCTAATACTGTATAAAATACTAAAAAGACTAAAGCTAAATAAAATTGATTTAACTTAAATTTGTTTACAAAAGGCCATGAAAAAGTTTTAAACATTTTATTGGACATGATCAGACAGAAAAAAATGTGTATTAGGAAGCATCTGTCCATTCACTGAATTATTGAAAAATATTTGAAAAACAAAATTTTAAAAACCTTTAAACTTGTTAAAACTAAGTGCTTTTTACCAAATACATTACTTATTATGCAGTAGCTCTATTTTAGATAATAAGCAAACATCGCTCTATAGCAAAGACAGAATCACATAGAACTACTTATCATCTGATATCATCTTCTAAAACACTTTTTTTAGTACCAGGAATTGAACTCACAACCTTGTGCTTGCTTGGTAGGCACTTATATCACTGAGCTAAAACCCCAGCCCTAAGACACTTTTAAGAAATTGCTTAAACATCCTATCTTGAATCAAGTCTTGCTATAATGAAAAAAATTCTCTAAACTATGAATAAAAAATTATGAGTTTTGAGAAACTACTTTTCTAGATTTTTATTTACAAAACTAATGCAAATATAAATTTTAGGCAGCTTCAAGTCTATTTTGAGATTATACAAATTTCCTTCCCCATATGAAACAATAATTAAAAATTTCAAATTGAAAGTCATATTCATGAATAAGTTTGGTTTTAAAGCATATAAACTATACATATTATTTATTCTCATTAATGACTCAAGGAAAAGAAGAAACAATGAGTATTAAAATAATAAAAATATTACCAATAAGAACTTGTAGGATACAGCTAAAAGCTGTTCTTAGAAATTCATGGCCTTATTTTAAAATATTAAACATCTGTGATGTAGGTGTCAAATTCCAAAGTTTAAAAAATTACATAGGAAGCAAGATAAAAAGAATAAAGAATTAGTCAATGAAATGGAGAAAGAACTTGATAGGTTTGATAACCACTGCTACAAAAGATTAATAAAATTGACATAACTACATAATTTATCAAAAGAAATCATAAAGTGATAATGATGATAGTTTAAAAGAAACCATTACTATGGTTACAGTAGAGATTTTGTAAAATCAGGAAATTCTATGATCAAATTGATGTCAAAAATTTAGAAAAATAACTTTCTATAAAAATATAGTAACCAAAATTGACTCAGAAAAAATTTATACACACAGGAACAGGAATGTACACACACATATTATGTACATTTGGAAACGTAAAATAAAAAAACAAAAGAAAGGAAAAAAGGAGAATGTGAACACCAGCCATGATGGCTACAGAACTATACATTCACCCCAACTTGAGGGGAAGCGTATCTCTGTGTTACATGAACTACATATTTCAGATACATTCTATGATATTAATACACCAGGATACCAAAACCTGACAAATGCAATATTAAAAATTATAGATCAATTTAGACAGTAACATTAGCTAATGAAAACCAGAAATATACAAAAAATATATTTTAAGAATTGAAAGATGGTTTAACATGGAAAAATAAAAAAGCTTATTAAAAACTAAGAATATAATAAAAACCCTTAATAGCTGGTGCTGATTTAGTATCATCTTGTTTTGAAGGCCCATCAAGCTTTTATTCTTCTGTCTCCATTGGTCTTAACAGTTTGTATCTTACTGGATTTTATTATATGTGATAATATAAGCAAAAACTTTTATAGACAAGGAGATTATACAGAAGCCATTGTTCATGTTCTGTTAGCTGGCTCTAAATACCCTATAATAATGTCATTCTCTTGAATGGTTTTACATTGTCTGGATATGTTTGGTGCTACAGTATACGAAGTTATACTCAAAGATTTCAAGGAAAGAGACAATATGATAACTACTTTTATGTCAGGATATCTTGCGGTGAAACACTATTTTGCTTAAATGGTTATGCTTTGACCTGTGCTGTTTTGCTGTTATGCCCTCTTTTATCTCAATCTCCTTTTTTAAAAATTATTTACTTTTTTACTTTTATCTTTTTAATTAAGGGAAAAATAAATAAAAAATAGCAGGATACATTATAGTAACCTACTTTGATTTCCTATTAACTTGATTTGCAACCCTGTATTGCCCTCACCATCTTGTTTTGACTGATTTTCCCCTATTCTGCTTAGCTTGATAGCACCAAGTTCGAAAGTATAGGCGACAACTGTGAAGACAATAAGATTCATTATGACACCCATTCTGGTTGACTATTATCTTCTTTTAAAGTCCTGTAATGTCTCCAATGTTTTGGCTTTCTTCTTTACTGTTTTGTTCAATTTTATTATAACTGATGATATCGGCAATTCTTCTTAAGATAGCAAGAGGCAGTATGGTAACCATTGTTGATCACCTTGTATTTTGTTTTTATATTATCTATTATGTCCATCCTTTTATTTGACTGACTCTGTTCTGATATGTCGCATTTGGTTTTACTCTCTTCAAAAAAAGTAATAAGAACTATGGGAGTAATAAAACCCAAAATGTGTAATTGTCATTGTACAAAAGAAAAGAAAGTGCTCTAAAGGTTATAACTGCATATATGTTTAAGTGTATGAGATAGATAATCACATTACTGAGTTTTGTTGGATCATTGAACAAAACTGTTTGCGGTCTCACTGTTTGAAAGTCCACTTTATATGCTTCAATTTTGTAACTTGAACAACTATTTTTAAGATGAGAATATGTAATCTATTAACTAGTGATTTCTTACTGTTTATTTTTTAAATTTTGTATTACTTGTACCCTTTTGGTTTTTTTTCTCCTTAAATAATATTAAAAAAAACATAAGTAAGTAACATACTACATGTCTAAAATATATATACTTCAATGTTAAAAAAGAATATATAAATAGCATATATAGCATACAAAACAATAAAATCTCATACGCTTCAGACAAAAAGGCATGAGAATTGAACAGAAAGCCATTATAACTTACAAATGGTGGTTCTGATTTTTCTTTTAATAATTATCTACATAAAAAAACCAAGTAAATCTGTAAATTAATCTAACAAGAATTCTGTAATTCCTGTTAAGTATAAGATCAATAATGTTATGTTTAGATAAGAAAATATAAATATCTAATTTAGAAAAACAATACTCATAATTGGAGCAAAACTTTTATGAGTAAATTTAATGATATGTATAAACATTATAAGAAAAAAATGTAAAATATTTTTGGAGAATATAAAAAGGAAACTGAACAGGAAGACGTGACTATTCACTGTTGAAAATTCATTAATTAAAAATTTAATATCCAAAGATTACAGTTCTCTCCAAATTAATTTATAAATCTGACTCCACAATTCATGTGGAGAAACAAAAAGCCAAGAACAGAAAACAGTGAAAATAAGGGGGAGAAAAGTGAAAGAAAAAAAAAAGAGAGAAGGCAGTAGGAAAGGGTAAAGAGGAACAAGATGTTACCTTTCCAAATTCAAGCTTTATCATAAAGCTAGAAGCTTTAAGATAATTTTGGTCTTGACACAGGGAGGAAAAAAAAAAGGCAAATGAAATTCAATGGATGGCCTAGAAATAGACTCATGAGCATGCACGACTTTGTTACATGACAGATACTGTATTTCCAAACATCAGAGAAAGGATTAACTATTGAATGAGCACTTAAAAGTGAATTGGATTATTGATATAAAAAAAATTCCCACCTGATTTTTATACACTACACATAAGAC